TAGGACGGCTAGCGTGCTCGACTGGGCCAATCGTCGAGCGTTTGTGATTTTATAGTCGCTGAGGCACTTTGTGAAATATTTCTCTAAGACTTTAGGCGACGTCTCGCCGGTTCTTTTCGAAATATTTGGTGTATAATTTTTTAGTCGAAACGACCAAGTGGTTTTTACTGCAGAAGTAATTTCCGGAAGTTTGGAATTTGTTTTTACGTTTTTTGATAGTAGAGAGATCTTATAATATTCTAACTTTGTCTTTATTTAAAAAGTTTTGAAAATTTTGATTACAAAGCGAATATTTTAAAATTTGGGAGTATACGAATACTCGTATACGCACCCACTCCCCCCCCCCTCCTGTTTCGGAGAGGGGGATAGCTGAACTCGTCTTTAGGCGAGCTTCCTACGTATTCCTTTTGGAAATCAAGCCATCTCATAGTTTTGATTGTTGATGCGAGTGTGTTTACTCGGCTGTCAGAGACTTCTCAATCGCTTTAGTCGCTGGATCGGCGTCTTTCTGCTTCTCGACTGTTGCTGGTTTGGGGTCATTTTCCGCGGGTGGCGGTGTTAACTTTGCCCGTTTCGGTTTCACGATTGCGACCGCCAATTGCCTTAGCTTATGTTCAGCTGAAAAGCACGATTGCGACTGTCTCTGGCATCCCTAAATTGCCGCGACTCCCGTAGGGGTTGGAGATTTGATGCCTAAGTGGTACGTCGATAGAACCGCCTTTATGGAGTTTATCCAAGGCGTGCCCATGATCACGTAGTAGATGGCTGGGCAATCGACGACTGCGAAGTTAACGATTTTCGTCACTTCTTTCGCGGCGACCGGAAGCCGGATCAATCCTAGAGTCATAGTCGTTTCGCCGGAGAAGCTGGTCAATGGCTTTGGTAATGGCTTGACCTCCGATAAATCGATTCGCATTCGCACCAACGTGTTGCGGAAGATTAAGTTGATGGTGCTTCCTGTATCGACCAGGATTCGGGCAACTTCTAAGTCGCTTATGACTAAGTCGATGACGATAGGATCGGCGTGTGGTTGATCATTGCCACCGGTTTCCGTGTCATCAAAATCGATTACTCCCTTCGGAGTATCATCCGATGGTATTTTCCAACTCGAACCGGTTTCAGCTTTTCGTTGGTAGAACTTGATGGACGAGATGGTATCAATGTAGTATTGCGATTCGCCGATGATCATATTGACCCTTTGGTTGGTTAGCGTCGTTACCTCTCTCGTCTTGTCCTCGTCCATGTTTCTCGCCTGGCTGGTTCCCTTGAGGCGGAGTTTCCGCTCGCGAGTACCTATCGGGTTTTGGGGGACGATCTAAGTCACGGATGAGGTCCTTCACGCTGGATACCTCATAGAGTTCTCCCGCGAGCAACTTTACGGCTAGTCTGGCGCCAAGAACTTTACAGTCCATGGTAGAATGCCCGCGAGTCTGGTGGAGATCGAAGAAGGAATTGTCGTCGTAATTCGGATTCCTTGACCACATGTTCCCCGTAGTTCGCCCCTGCTCCGATCCGGAATTGACGAAGTAGTTGTGCGCCCTTTGGAGATCACGTCCCTCGTGAAGGAAGATTTATCGTCACGAGGGTTTTTCTTTCTCAGCTTCTGCTCGGACGCGATCTCCTTTGCGGACAAATTCACCGGCTTATGCCGTTCAGACATGATTTTAGTCTCCTCTTCGATGGTTATGTAATCGGTAGCTCTGTGGAGCGCGTCCTGGATCGTCCGCGGTTTCTCGAGAGTTATCTACTTCGACTTGAACCAGAGCGATTTTCTGAGCGCATCTATGGCGGCTCTGTCGCTTATTCCGCTAACTCTAGCCCTGATAAGTTTGAACTTGCTCATGAAGTCGCGGAGAGGTTCGTCTTCCTTCTGGGATAAGCTCCAGAGGTCGGCGTCGGAAGTTTCCCGATTTATAAACATCGAGTCATGCTTCATGAATTCGGAAGCAAGCTGGCGGAAACTCCCGATCGAATTCCGCTTAAGCTTGGCGAACCACTCGAGCGCCGCTCCTTCTAGGTTTTAGACTAAAAGACGGCAGTAGCCCACATATTTTTTGCCATCATTGAGCTTGGCTCGTCCCTTGGTGATCTGGAAGGCCTGCAGGTGCGCTTTGGGATCGGTCGTCCCGTCGTAAGTCGACACTTTGAGCTTTCTAGGATCGGGTAGCTGGACCTCGGTGATGCGAGCCGTAAAAGGTGTTTTCCGAGATTCGTATAGCAGCCATCTATCCCGGGCGTGGTGCTGGTAGCATGGTGAATTTGAGATTTTACCGCTTTTACCACCGCGACCGTTTTACTAATGTAGTCGCAGAGATTACGAATCTCAGTTAGGTTGCCAGCAGTTTTTTGACTTTTTCAGCGTTTTGTGCGAGTAACTCGAGATCGTTCGTTGGCCGTTTTCGCACGTTGCATGCAGTAGAGATCCTCCTGGTCCTCAGTAAGATAACGCTTGGGAGAGAATTCCGGTTGAGGGCTTTGATTTTTCCTCCCCCTTGGATGGACATCCGCGTCTTCAACCGACAGATCGGATTAGTCGCTTGTTTCCAGGTTAACTCTTTCGACACCGTCTTCTTTGGTCTCTTGTCTGCAAGTAGGAGATTTATCCGATTCGTTCAGCGTCGCGTCAAGGTTATCTTTTTCGGAGTTCTGCCCCGACAGATTTCTCTACTCGTTTCTGGGGCTATCCATAGGAGTCCCGAAATCGAGCCTTCTTCCGCGCTCGGTTCTGGGGAGATCCATATGAGTCGTGAAATCGAGCCTTCTTCCGCGGATCCTAGTAGTTCCTCGGGGGTGAATTGCCTTGGTTTTCGCAGTTAAGGTTTCGACCTGTTTTGCGAATGAACCAATGAGCTTTTCTTTCTCCTACGATTTCTTGTTGAAGTCGGCGAGCATCTTCTCGATGGTCTCGGTGTTAGCGTTAGCGTTAACCCTGGACACATCTGGTACGGGTGTATTGTCAACTTTTTCACTATCGACGCGAGTTGGTTGTTCTTTAGACATCGTTTCTTGATTGAGCATGCTGCGGCTTGAGTGTAAGATAGACCCGACCCCCCCTCCTTCTAGCGTCAAACTATGGGAACCAAAATTTACCCCTGGCAATTTTACGTAAATAAAAGCACTTAGGGAAAACCCTAATTTCCCAGAGGACCCGACTATCTGCGGAACCGCACACAAGCAATCAAGAACACGATAACAAAATAAAAAGATATCAAAAACAAGTTAGAGAGCGAAGAGGATTCTCATTATGAATTCTGCGTAAGAGTGGTACAAAGAGAGTAAGCCTTGGCTACAAGAGCTGACGGCGAGTTCCCTAGTTCTAACAACCTAAGACTGAAAACCCTAGATGAGACTTAGCTCAATAACAAAAAACGGAAAGTTTCCTAATGCTAAATTTGGTGGTGAGAGCTCTGAAAATCGTGTCTTCTTCTGTCCTTGGCCTTCTGCTTATATACTCCCTCTTTAGGCGGTTTAGCCCTTCCTTTTCGCCCAGATTCGAGTCTGGAAATCTTCCATTTATCTCGATCTTTCCATTTTTCTTCGGAAATCTCTATATATCTTCAAACTTCGCATTAATCTTCTTTTTGCGAGTAAATTTTTAAACCGTCATTGCATCTATGGGAAGGAATTCGCCAAAACTGTAGATAGGTTTTGATCGCGTTTTAAGACTTTCCACGCCGTTTTGCGATAAAAACCGTTATACAATTGTAGATGAATTTTTTCCTGATACGATGTCGTTTTTATATGACTTCTTGAGTTAACCGTATAGTTTCCCAATGTACGATGTTCCGTTTAATCGTTGGTGTTTTATACAATCTTCCCAAATTCTTATGAGAAAATAAGACTTTTACGATTTTTATCGTAAAACTTGAATGGTAAAACGGATCGAGATGAAACGAGAGACGTTTCAACCATGGTTCAGAACACGATCAAATCGAAGGATGTATGCTTCGTGTCGAAGATGCGGGGGAGCGAGGCTCGGGACGGTCAGCTCGACGTACAGTGAACTGAACTGATCCAGTCCAGCTCGATGTACGGTAAGCTGTTGTGAGATGGTCAGCTTGCCGTACGGCGAGCTGTTGTGAGACGATCAGCTCGTGGTATGGCGGATGCGGTTTTTGCGGTTTTTCGCTTAACATGGGCAATCGTGCAGTCTGAGATGACAATTTCCAATTTTCGCGCGGCTTTCATTTGTTTGGAAAGTCCTTAGAATTTTATTAAACGACTTCTCGTGTTTTATAAAACGTATTTTTATTTCTACGGAAATTTTTGGTCATTGATTCCGTCGTACCGATTTTGACCCCAACATTCCTAAACATGGTTAAGTTTGAATCCATCATGGATTTAAGAGTAAACATGTTTATTAGTGTGTAGATACATCTTACATCTATGGGTTAGGTTGATTAGGATGATTGAGTGTAGATCTAAGGTGTTTAGTGTTGGATCTAAGTGTTTCCTTGCTATGGAGTGATCTTAGTGCTAGATTATTGTTGGCCTCTCTAAACTAAATCTCTAGTCATTTCCTGCTCAAGTTGTATGTTGAAATGTCTGAACCAACTTTACTTACCTCTAAGACTTCTTAGCCAATGACCTTTGTATCTAAGAAGTCTTAGATAGTTATTAAACTCACTCTTAATGATTGCTTGAATTATTTAAACCAATGACATTTGTGTTTGATTATGTTAAGGAAATGAGCATTTGTCTTAGAACTTGCTTAGTTAAGTTGTTTAGATTTAATGTTACATTGATTGAAAGCTTGCCACCATTAGATTAAAACTTGATCACCTAAACGAAATACCTAATCCTACGGATCTTATTTTCATTTATTGAAAAAAGCTTGTTTCTTTATTGCATTTTAGTATTGTTACTGATCATATAACTTCACTAAACTGATTGCATTTAGCTTGAATATGGTCTTATATTTATTTTGCTTTATAATCAGTTAGGGTTGGTTCGACAACCTTTCTAGATTACATCATTTGGTTAATTGATTAAGGACCCTTGAAAAGTTTTACATCAATTTTCAGATTCATTTTATTTGTCCAATCCTATATAAGACAATTGGAGAACAATATAGTTTGCTGCTGAAGAAATTTATAAATTAAAATAAAAAGAAAAAAGAAAAGACAGGGAAAAAAATTCCGAAAAGAGACCTTTGTTGCTTTGTTTTATTGACTCCACTCAAAGAAATAGGTGAATTTTAGCTCATCGACTAAACCAATGGCCGGTGAATATCCGATGCAATCCACTCACAGCGGCGGAATCGACGGTGGCGACGGAGTAGGATGTGGAGAGGTGAGTCGTGGTGGTGGGTTAGCTCGGATCCGTTCAGCTCCGGCTTCTTGGATTGAAACCCTACTCGAGGATGATGAAGAAGACGATTTGAAACCTAATCTCTGTTTAACTGAGCTTCTTACCGGAAACTCGGCCGGGTTAACGAGTCACCGCATGTTAGAGCTCCAGAGTTCCGTTGAGCAGGGACTGTACAATCACCAGGGTGGTTTTCACCGTCAGAACAGCTCTCCGGCGAATTTTCTCCGTGGCTCTGGAGCTGAGGCTGATGGGTTTTTATCAAATTTTGGGATTCCGGCGAATTACAACTACTCTCCGCCGAACGTTAATATTTCTACGGCGAGTAAACGGTCAAGAGAAGTTGAAGCTCAGCTTTCTTCTCAGATGGTAAGCTGTCTGCCGAATAATCTGTTCTTATTTGATTTAATTTTCTTGTTGTCAATTTGAATGAAAGCATGGTCAACATGCTGAATTTTGTTTCAGACTGAGATTAGTAAATTCATAGTTTAATGGGTCTTTGAAATGCTTAGTGGTGGAGACAAGAAAGATGTAAAAGAGCAGTCTTGTCTAATATTTGACAACTTGCATTTGTTTGAAACAAAACGCAGCAAGTTGCAGTAGTTTTTTTTCCCAGTGGCTGACATAAACCTTCTATTAGTATATGAAAACTGAGAATCAGACTTTATTAGCCACTACATTAAGTCTCTTATATCCAAGACGTTCAAATCTGAAGATCGTCTTAAGTCCTGTAAGATGAGAAATGTTGGTATGGATATTTGAACTTGGATAATCAACTCTTCCGTTTTGTTCTGTTGAGTAGAAAAAAGAGCAAATGAGTGGTGGTGTATCAGGAATGATGGATATGAACATGGATAAGCTTCTTGAGGACTCTGTTCCTTTTAGGGTTCGTGCTAAACGTGGTTGTGCAACTCATCCTCGTAGCATCGCTGAACGGGTAATTGCTTAAAAGCTTTACGCTTTGTAGTCATAACTTGTGATGTTTCTGTTTACGCTCTTATTTTGTTTTTATGTATTTTCTGTATTCATATGAATCTATGATCAGGTGAGGAGAACGCGAATAAGCGATAGGATCAGAAGGCTGCAAGAACTTGTTCCTAACATGGATAAGGTAGTTTTCTTTTACATCTCAATTTATTTTCAATTTGATAAGAATCACGAAATGGGACCAAAATTATATATGCTCAAGGCCTGGGGTAAGTGTTAATGCGCTTACTAAGCTTAGCTGTAAAGGAAAATGGATGTTTAACTGTTGATGTTTGTGAAGACACTGATGAAACTTCACAGTTACCGTATAGTCCATAAACTATGGTCGTGCAGCCCTATATTCGAAGATTCTTTGTGTGATATCTGATTAGTTGTCTCGTTATAAACATTACGAAAACAAACGTTTGAAAACTGGTTTCTGTATGATAAATCTCCTAAAGATGTGCAAAGATTCAGTTATGATTTCCTTTTTTTGGTAGCAAACCAACACTGCAGACATGTTAGAAGAAGCTGTGGAGTATGTGAAAGCTCTTCAATGCCAGATCCAGGTTTATCTACAACACTGCAACATAAATCAGCATATCAAAAATTAGCATATGAAAAATTAGCATAATACGGGAAATTGTTTTAGGAAAATATATAGGAAAGAGTGAATAGTAACACAAACTGGAAAAAACGTATTTGTATTTTGTTTTGATCGTTTTTCCTGTTTTATGGATTCAGGAGTTGACAGAGCAGCAGAGAAGGTGCAGATGCAAACCTAAGGAAGAACAATAAGGTTTCCTTTGGAATTGAATATATATATATATGTATATGTAATTATTTTGTTTAATTTTAAGTGGTGATCTGTTAGAAAATAGGAAACGTTATCCTTTTATTTTATTAAAAAATAGATTATTAGTTGTAAAATGTTTTATTTAATGAACTTTAGCTGTAAAATGTTTGTACAATGAGGAAAGTCTTAAAGAATCAATAAAAGGGGGAGTTATTTAGTTTTTCTCATTTTAATCTCAAAAAGAGCCGTATAAATGTAACTCTCTCGTGTATATTACAGCTTGTGTTTTTGTATACATTAATTTAGATATTATGCCCATTTCACTTTTAACCAAATTTTTGAAAAATCTATATTATAATAGTAGACTTTCAAAGCTCCACAACGTGCCTCGTCAGCAGTTTTGTGGGTCCCGTAATTATTTTTTAAACATCCATAGTTTTGGTAAGGTCATTAGAAACAATAAAATACACTTTAGCCAAGTGGTATAAGGTATTTAGTTAAGCATGCAAGATCGTGGGTTCAAACGACGCGGCTATCATGTATTTTTGTTTTTTTTATTTGATTTATTATCGTATGAGTTTTTTGTTTATAAGATTTTTATATTTTTTTTGGGCTTATTATTTTAAAGGTCAAAATAGTTGGATAATCTGTAGAACTTAACAAGTTCAAACCCAAAAAGAATTAAAAATAGATCCAAAAATGAACAATAAAAAAAAACAAAAAAGCAAGTCTTACGCGGTTGCCTACGCGGATGGCTTAAAAAGTCTTAAAACATCCTATTAGAATATAGTTCAACCCAACAATAATAAAAAATAAATCCAAACACGAACAGACCAAAAAACAAAAAAAAATGAATCTCACGCGGCTGGCTACGTGGATGGCTTAATGAGGCTTGAATATTATAGATTAAGAGCTAAAAAATTAAATCATTGCACATATTTCCTAATATATATTTTCAAAGAATTTGTATGTGAGATAAAATAAAAAAAAACAACGTAAATTAATTATTTTCGTTATTTATTAAATGAATATTTAATTTCTCTTATATTTTAATAACTACTATAATTTCATTGAAAACATTCCTCACCACCGATTCCAAACTCCGGCGAATGGATTCCCACAGTCGATGATGCCGTAGATAAAAATGCCACATCATTTATGAACAAAACTCAAACTTACAAAAAAAAAACCATATATAAAAACCTGTCTAATGAAACTTAAACAACGAATATTAACTTAAATAAGGTTATTTTTAAATTGATAAATCTTTTAATACAAATTTAAATACTATAAATATAGAGTTATATCAAGTTTTGACCTACGATATAAAAACTATTTATAGCAAAAACACCTACTTTTACACACTAAAAACTATATTATAGCCTAACTATTCATATAAACCTTGCTTCGCATATAAATAATATTTAACACATTCCTAATATATTTTCAAAAAATTTGTATGTGAAATAAAATAAAATAAACAAAAAAATTTAAGTATTTTTCGTTATTTATTAAATGAATATGTAATTTCTCTTACATTTTAATAACTACTATAATTTCATTGAAAACATTCCTCACCACCGACTCCAGACTTCAGCGAATGGATTCCCACAGTCAATGACACCGTAGATAAAAATGCCAAATCATTTATGAACAAAACCCAAACTTACAAAAAACCATGTAGAAAAACATATCTAATGAAACTTAAACAACGAATATTAACTTAATTAAGGTTATTTTCAAATTAATAAATCGTTTAATACAAATATAAATACTATAAATATAAAATTATATCATGTTTTGACATACGATATAAAAACTATTTACAGCAAAATAAAAATAAAAATAGACACATACTTTTACACACTAAAAACTATATTATAGCATAACTATTCATATAAATTTTACTTCGCATATAAATAACATTTAACATTAGATATACAATATTTTCACTTTACATTCTTACTACATTCTTTCCATTTCATTATTATTTGGTAGCATTAGAAGAATCCACTAAAACAACAATAAAAAAAAAACTTACACGCAAACATAATGATCACGGCCCTGCGCTTGCGCGGCGAATATGCAACTAGTATAGAAATAATTATAGAGTTTATTAGCAAGATAACCATATTTCAATGTGAAATTAAGTGAATAGCATTGATTTTGATATAATTTAATATCAGACATTTTAGTCATATTCTCTCCGGGTCTACTCTTTAACGTAGATGATTTCCAGTTGTATTTTTTTTTAAAATAAGAAACGTGGCACTTTAATTTAATGACACACCAATATAAAACATTTCCATCTCAAATTTAGAGTCACTTCTGTACAACTACCGTAAGAGAAAAATGGGGAAAAGGGCCTATTCCTACCCGAACAATTTCAATCGTGCCAAATACAACCCGAACAAACATCCAATGCCAAATACGACCTGAACTACGTTATAATGCAAAAATACTACCTGAACTTTTTGAAACGTGCCTAAACCTACATTGATCATAATAGAAGTTAGTCAACCGTTAAAATGATAAAACGACGTCGTTTTGATTCTATTATTCAAAATGAACATTCCGGGACTCGAACCCGGGTTTTGTCACTAAAACATACACATCAACCACTAGAGTAAAG